GGGTAGCACTCAGCTGCAAGAAAGATCGAGGAAAACAGCAGTAGATCACTGCGTTATTCTTTCAATTGCGTCATCCAATCATTTACTAAATATTTTGAAGAATCTTTTGTTAGCGAAAATTCTCATGAACATGTTGGCCAAAAAGGAACAAAAGGACTTCAATCGTTGACCAGAAATGGAAAAAAAGTTAAGGGGTTAATCTTGACTTTTATTCCATTTTGGGGACTTACTTTCGATAGCTAGCTGCAGAAAATGTAACTTCTAAGCAGTAATCGAGAACAATCTGCGTTTACATTTTACTCTACAATATATATACTGTAAATGTTTGAATAAAACACGTAGAACATTACTGGGTGCCAGAGATTCTTCCACGTTCGCAGGGGGATAACGAGGGATACACGAGGATGCAAGCTACCCAGCTCGTATTTAACAAAAATCTCGGTTACATTTGTTAAATGTAGTATACAACAATGATAATTACAGCTTGACAAAAAATACAATGTGAAATACAATATGTATTGTTACAAAAAATTCGTTAAATATAATTATAATACAAATTAAATTAATACACGTTAAATATTTTATACATTACGAAATGTATTACAAAAGTTAATCTTAACATTATATCTTGCAAAAAAATGTACTCGCTTTAGCATAATATTACAAAAATGCACGTTTAAATTAAATTATATTACAGAAATAATGTTTCATTATATATATTACAACAAATAGAGCGTATACAAATAAATACGTATAGATATCTCATCCTGTGTCTGGGGCCCCCATTTATTTAAATAAATAAATTCCTAAAATCTTATTAACTTAGCATGTAATAATAGGTTTAATACATTTTTATGATGCTTGTGCCATAAAATTAAATGATAATATTTCATATAAAACTTAATGTTTGAAAGTATATTGCGAGAAAGTTATGCATCGATATTTATCAGAGGGGCACCCCCCAGTATTAGCACATTTTTACTGCCTATAATTTTTCCCGAAATTTTCGCTTCATTCGTATATTGATCTATATTACTATATACCTCTGACTATATACGAATAAAGTTAAATTGCGCAAACGCATTTTTTAAACGGGGCACCCCGCCCCCCCCCATTTTACTAGTTAATTACTATGTCGCACTTGACAATTTATGCGCATCACTATATTATTACACTATATTATTCCGCCATATTGTTGCCTCCATATTGTTGCCTCCATATTGTTGCCTCCATATTTGCACATATTGTTGCCACTTAATTAAGTACTTACCCCCATTTCCGCATATTTTACCCCTTCACCACCATACTTCGCTCCTGACCGCAGAGACCCCCATTTTACCGATACAAAACCCACTAACCTTTCGACGTCTTCTTTCTTCAGAATTACGCAAGATGTTTACCATAGTAATGCACATTTGCCAGAGATATCCACCACGAGAATGCACATTTGCCCAAGATATCCACCACGAGAATACACATTTGCCCAAGATATCCACCATAAGAGCACACATTTGCCCAAGATATCCACCATGAGAATGCACATTTGCCCAAGATATCCACCACGAAAATGCATATTTGCCCAAGATATCCAGCATGAGAACACACATTTGCCCAAGATATCCACCACGAGAATGCACATTTGCCCAAGATATCCACATTTTTTGTTCTCACTAGAAACGATAAATTTTAAAACAAATTTAGTTTTAAAACACCCTAAAAACTTTATCACTAAACGTTTTTCTACTTACTAATTAAACTAAAAATATATCCGGGGAAAACAAGACTAATTAAGTTCAAATTTCAGTCTATTTACTCTTTACTTTAATTATGACTGGACAGGCGCCTATAAAGTAAAATCGCCAATGCGACGGTCAAGCGGTTTGTAGACTTTGTAGGTCGTCACTCGTCAACTTCAGCAAGTAGTTTTAAACACTTTTATTCACCCAAATATGAACATTTTAAATAAAATAGAACTGAGTATATATACCTCAGTTGAGTCTTTTAGCTTCACTATAACACCGAGATCATTTTGGCAATTTTAACAAGTAGTTTCAAACGCTTTTACTCGTCAAAATATGAACATTTTATATGAAATAAAAAGTGGATACCTTTGAGTTTCACTTGAGGTTGAAAATTCAACATTTCTTCTTCAATTTTGCTTCAAAATTCGGGCAAGAAATCGATTTTATTTCATTCAACTCGACGCTTTAAACGAAATGCATGACTTGCATGGCTCCTGCTAGAATCTTAAATTTCGTAGCATGGTCGAAAATGGTCACATGACGAGAAACGACCATTCCTATTGGACGACATGGGCTATTATGTAAATTCGCTAAATTAATTGACACTATACTTAAATGTTATTCAACGCATGTGATTGGCTGAAAATAAGCACTGCCTATTGGTCCATTTCAATTCCCAGAGGAGAATGCTGAAAACGTAATTTAATTAAATATGAACTAATGAATATTAATTCAGTGTAACCAATTTTTAATTAAAGAAAACATGACAAACACTAAGGCAGCGTTTACACTGTACCGTTTTCGTAGCGTTCTCGTATTGTTCGAGAGAACTAGACTATTGTCTTGCGTTCCCTTGAGGATTAAGAACAATACGAGAACGCTACGAAAACGGTACAGTGTAAACGCTGCCTAAGAACAACTGTGGCGTAAAAATATTCTGTTTCTTGTCAACGCGCGTCATTTTTAACTGTGCGCGTTCAATGGTTTTGTCTGGCAAATTATTATTTACTAATAATTAATTTATTATCTTATTTATTTATTTGCACACTTTAATATATTTTTTATCCTAGTTCCATTCTTTTCCATTAGACTTGCAAGTTTGGTGACATTTTAACATGAAAACCACTATATACACTTTACCGAATCTAATACTCACACATTTCTGCAAAAAGTTCCTCCTTAAAGGCTTGATTCCAGTTACGCGTTTTTCATACGTGCGTACACGCACGTAAAAGTTGAATTCGCTTTACATCCTATTTATGAAATAACTAAATTTATAAAAGGACAGCATTCAGTTTTGTGTATGATTTAATGTGTACTTGTTAAGGTTATTTGCACGTATATGAAATTTTAAGCGAATTCAACTTTTACGTGCGTGTACGCACGTATGAAAAACGCGTAACTGGAATGCAGCCTTAACTCTTGAAAAAACATAGCAAGGAAACTGTGTCGACGCGTCAATTCTGGACAAACCCACTGACCACAAACAGAATTTTGTAATACACCCTTTCGATTACGTCATTTGGCCTGGGAGCTTCGCTCTCTTTCGCTCTCATGAATGGTGAGCCAATCACCTTGCGTAATTTACTGATGAGAGCGAGGACCAAAAAGTTTGTGTGACGTAATTATATCGAAAGGGTGTATTGAGTAATTTAGCTTGGTTTAGCTACTTTTAGCTTGCATATTTCTTGGGTATACATTATATATTACGCAGCCCAAAGTTATGAAAATTTAAACTTATTATGGCTAAACTGACTAATTTTACATGTTTTTCGTGTAAAAATCTCTCAAAGCGTGAGATTTCTTTCAACAAGCCTACACACGTAAAAATCTCAGTTGTCAACAAGATGTGTTCGCAACAGGTTTGTGGCAAGCTTGTCAACAAGTTGTAACAATATGCTGTTATTTTACAAGTTGTTACAAGGTTTTCACTCACAACGAACTTGTTGACAACTTGTTGAATTGCAGGACGGATAACAAGTTGTTGGAGCAACGTGTAACAAGTCTGTTGAGCTCAACAATCTTGCAGCAAGTTGTCGACAAGCCGTTGACAACTTGTGAACAAGCTGGGAACAAGCAGTGCGAACATATCCTGTTGACAAGTTGTTGGAACTTGGAACAGCATCAGTGCCTTTTTTAACTATATATCTGGGGGGGGAGGCAATTGCCCCCCCCAGGGAAAGAATTTGCCCCCCCCCCAGGAAAGTAATTTGTAAGGAAAGTATTTTGCATGAAAGTAATTTGTAACGTAATCAATTACTTTTTGAAGGTAACGAGTAACATTTTAAAAAAGTAATTTGCGTTACGTTTGGGCACTTTTATTATTTTCCAAAAAAACGATGACGACAATGACTTTTATTATTGATGCCACAGTTTACAATGGACAATGTACTGCACCTTTGAAGCAAATGGCTTTGAAGCTGAATACCGTATTGCCTGCAAGTGCAGCTGTTGAACGTCTTTTCAGCTGTGGAGGCTTGATCATGCGCCCGCACCGAAATCGGTTAACTGATGACCATTTTGAGTCGGCACTACTTTTAAAGCTGAACTCCAAATTTAATAATGTTGCATAAGTCTTAACTCTTAACTTTGGAACTGCCCTTTGAATTAACTTTTTATTGTTGTTTAAGTCCATGAGAACTTGAAAGTAATTTCAAGGTAATTAGTAATTAATTACTTTTGAAAAAAGTAATTAGTAATCGGTAATTAATTACATTTGGAAGACAGTAATAAGTAATTAGTAATAATTACTCGTTATTGTAATTTTACTCGTTACTTTTTTTCGGTAATTTTCACATCACTGCATGACTTACATCCTATGCTTAGGGACGGACCATTAGAAAAGTGATGGGGGGGAGGGGGAGGATTTTCTAAGAGGCAATATATATATATATATATATATATATATATATATATATATATATATATATATATATATATATTTGTACACCTATAAAAGAAATTTTTTTTCTCACTTGATGGCTGGAATTTTTTTCTGCACTATGCCTGGAAAGATTTTTTTTGGTTTTGCCCCCCCCATTTAACACCTCTACCAACTTTCGAAAATGACGTCAGGTCAGTTCCTGGATGGAAAATAGTGCTAACCAGCGGGAGGTATAGGCTCCTTTTACGCTTACATCATACAGTATATATATAGAATGAGTGACAGAAAATACTGAAACTACGGTTTAACAGGAGAATAAGGTTGAAGGCAGTACTCAAGCAGCAGTATTCAGGATTGTGATCTCTAATTCTCAACAAAGGTGATTTAAAAGTATTTTAAGGGCTGCTATTACAGTACGAGGGGTGATTTCCTGCCATAATTCAACACCAATATTAGGGACTTTTTTAAAGTCCCTAATGTTTACATTCGGATGTTTGGCAGAAAGCTTTGGAAAAGCATCATACAATCTGACTTTGTACATTGAAATGGCGCATGAAAAAACCGTAAAAAGTCTTGAAATTGATTTCTGGTTGTGTTAGGAAACATTTTTGGAAAGATTAATATACGAATGCTTCGAAATTTGCTACGAAAGGGGAAGGATATTTTGCTTCCAGGGTATACGTGTACCAGTACTACCAAAATCGTTCATTGAGCATCATGCATGAAATACGAAATCGAATATCGAAATTATGTAATAAAATGTCTGTTTCAGTAGCATAATGCAATGTCATAAATTTGCCAAATATATAAAAATACGGTACAGAATATCAACAGAAATGTGTCACAATGAAATGCATATAATATTGGTGTTGAATTATGGCAGGAAATCACCCCTCATTCATTCAATTCATGTTTTGCAGGTTATGAAGACAATACTGGGATATGATGCTTGTGATGTTACTCTGAGTGTATATCCACACCGGGCAAGCTTGAAAAATATGCCTGACCACGGTGGGTAACATCACAAGCATCATATTCACCTAAGTACACATTACACCAACACTGAAAAAATCATGATTATACCAGATTGCATTGATATCGAAGGAACTAGATTCTGTTCCGAAATATCACATACTCGAACTGACCTGACCACGTAGCTCAGTTGGCAGAGCATTGGGCTAGTATCCAAAGGTCATAGGTTTGATTCCCACCGTAGACAGGCATATTTTTCAAGCTTGACCAGTGTGGATGTACACTCAGAGTAACATCACAAGCATCATATTCACCTGAGTGTACATTACACAAACACAGAAAAGATCATGAATACTGGGATATCTGATGACCCCCCCCCCCCCCCCCCCCCCCCCACACACACACACACACACACACACCTTAGCACTGCCTCTGTCTGCTAAAGATAACGAAAGCAACTCTTTATCTACATCTTACATGTTTTATATGCAAAGTAGTTGACAGGCAAATTGCCTGTAGGGACTTTAAGATTGATGTTTAGGGCAAACCACTAACTGCAAACTTCAAATCATAATTTGAAGTCAACTGTTAGCTGTTCGAAGTTAGGGCAACTTGTGCACTAAAATTGAGGCATGAATTGGCTACTTTTAGCTGTCGAAACTGTAGGCCTTACTTCCAAATGTGATTTGAAGTTTGCGATAAACAACAATCTTAAACATTTGAAGTTCCCTACAGTTTCGACAGCTAAAAGTAGCTAATTCATGCTCCAATTTTAGTGCACAAACAGTAGCGGAAACAAGGGGGGGCGATCGTCCCCCCAATAATTTTAGTTAGCTTTCATTTAGAAAAATGTAACACGCAGGGCCACACGCTATACCTGGCCAATATGGAGCTTCCGTAGCCGGATGATGTCAAAAATCACACATACAGGTGCACTTTACCTTTATAATTGATTTCTGGCATTTCCAGAGTCAATTGCGGTAGAAACATCACATTGTTTTAATGTTTTGAAATTGTATTTCTGGTTGGAATTAGCTCACAGTCATACCAGAAATGGAAGTATTGTGATAAAGATACAAATTTGAAGATATAGGCTTGAAAATGGCACTCCAACTAGTGTTTTTGAAAGCAATTTGAACAAGACTATTACAAATAAGATAGGTACGTCCAAAGGGGCTGAAGTTATGTTCGGGGAAAGGTATGGCTAGTCTATATTATTTCAATCTCACTTGACTTTCAAATTAACGCCTACAATGTTTGGCAATGACAAACTATTGTGAGGAATTAGTTGATATAGTTTCATTGAATTGAATGGTGGTGTTATTGTCTTCATTAGCACTGAACCGAAGATATAAACATACAAAGTTGCCAGGTTCTAGAAGCTGACATGCATGCATGCATGGGACTTGTCAAGAAAGAGTTATACCACCTTGCAATTCCATTCACAAATGTATTTAATCATCTAGAATATTTTCTCTGAAATGTCGGTTTTTATGCTTAGCATATGATTTATAACAAAATGCACTATTAAATTAATGTTTTGAAAACCTGAAATTTCTTACAAAATGTGCTCTCAGAATGCTGCAAATGCCATTTCAGGGATCCAAATTTTAAAAATTTTCTGGGGGAGCATTCCCCCATAACCCCTTCAAATCTCATGCCCTCGGCACTCGCCCCCCCCTCTATATTTTCGCAAAGTTTCCATCACTATGCACCAGTTGCCCTAACTTCGAACAGCTAACAGTTAGGTAAGAGCCTGGCCTGCCTGGGTATGAGGTTGACACTAGTTGACTTCAAATTATGGTTTGAAGTTTGCGGCGTTCAGCGGTTTGCTAAAGGCTGATTTCCACTGTTGCGTTTTTCGTACGCACGTACACGCACGTAAAACTTTGAATCCTTCTATTTTTTAAATATTTCACGGAACACTAAATTCTGTTACTTTATTTATTTGGTTATTTCATAAATAACATTTAAACGGATTTAAAGTTTTACGTGCGTATACGTACGTATGAAAAACGCAACAATGGAAACCAGCAGTAAGTGAGAATAATATTTTCAGCGAATAATAGGATAAAGTTGAGGCAATTAACTAATAGCCACATTGTTGTGTATTTTATTATAGTATATTATTATACCTGTAAGAGTGAGAGCAACAGAAATCTGTAAGAGAATAAGAGATGGAAAAAAAAGAGGTAAGAAAAGCAATTGCTATACAAGTTGAAGAAGATCTCAAGGTACAGTAGAAATCTGGAACAGTTAGATTAAGCTAGTTCTGCCGGGGCACAGGTCATAAGCATTTTACATGCACATGGGATATTGTGCGCCATATTAAGGTCAGACGCGCGATTGCAAAACGGTCAAGAACTACGCCAGTACACCTATTACAGTAAGAGACTAGATTAATTAGCCTTTCTCACGCCGCCATTTTTGGGTGGCATTTCAGCTGAAGTCTGTGCGATAAGTCCACATAACAGCGACTTTTTATAATTTTTTGGACGAATGATGGTAAATTTGCTTTGTAAATTGTTAGTTTATTTTAAAAAACATTGTTTTAATTGTCTGCATTGGATAATGAAAATTTGATGCCACCCAAAAATGGCGGATATTCGTCATCGTGAGAAAGGCTAATTGATTAACACTGACAAAACTGGGTAAAACTTTATGCAGGACAAAACGATTTTAACATTGGAATTTAAACGAAAGTAGTAGTACTAGCCACTATATATAATGTATCTGGCAATATGGATTGATGGATGGATGGATTGATGGATGGACGGATGGATGGTATAATATATCGCAGCCGCCAGGCTGAATAGGCAATTCCAGCTTTTAGTTTATGCGTGCAGAGGACGATGGGAAGTAAGGTATCACATTGCTGATTATGCTGAAAAAATAAAAATGGTGGCCGTGTAAACACGGAGTGATAGCTTATACTTGTAAATATTGAAATATTTCGGTTGTTTTGGTAGTTTTTATTGAAAATTTTCAGCATAATCAGCAATTACTTCCCATCATCCCCTGCACGCATAAACTAAAAGCTGGAATTGCCTATTATGCATTTTTTACAACAATTGGGTTTAACTAACATATTTAACTAAATTTATACGATTAAAATTATCATAAAAAGCGACTTTTAAATATTATAAAAGTTTATATCTCCGTTTATCATATGTTGCATGTGCAGTACTACAAAGACTGATGAAAAGAAAAATGTGTTTTTAAATCGATTAGTCTCCCAATGTGGACTGTAGCGCATTGCATTTCTGAGACCGTAATGAAGTTCTCGTCTTGGGGGCACGAGACTCCCAAGACGATGATTTTCGTTCCTTTCTCAGTATTTTAAGCAACGTTTACACGAACACATTTTATTTGACAAATTTCATTTGATCAAATGCATTTTGATGAAAAGCTAGCATGCTAGCTTTTGTTCAAATGCATTTGTCACAATGAATTTGTCACAAATTTATCATCTACATGAGCAAAATAAATTTGACATATAAAATTTGTCAAAATAAATTTGCTTGTGTAAATAGGGTTTTACTGAAGATGTTTTTGCATATTTGTTGATGATGAACCTGCAAACGTCCGATTTCAAGTGACTGTAAAGCAGTTTTATAATCGGAAAAGGGACAAACTATTGATAAGGCCCTTTTTGTACTTTCTCTAAATCGTTTACTATTTTGGTAATACGTAATAGAATTGATATCGGCACTCCATAATCTAATATAGTATTTACAATTTAAACGTTAATCTCAATATCACTGTCTTCTGGCTCGCTTTCCGGTGTCCCAGTTGATTTGGACCGGCGTAGATTTGGACCCCCGGTCCATATCCACTAGTAGATTTGGACCCCCCGGTCCAAATCTACTAGTATATATGGACCCCCGTTGGCCGATATGGACCCCCCTTCAAAAGTTAAATATATGTACTGTGAACACAATAATATAAACCAAATTTATAATAGCGATCAATCTGAAGTATTTGATCACTTTAAATATTTGTGATAAAGGCCACAAAACGTAGAAATGTATAGTCTTTGCCAACAACGAATCTGCTGATGTCGACCTTTACCAAGAATTACGACTGAGAATTATGAACAGATTTTTATCTATTCTGGTCATATAAACGCCATATTACGTATATAAATGAGTTTTTAGCGTGTTTATTTATCCTTCTATGATTGTACACGTACTTTCTATTTGGACCTTTATTTGTAGTTTAAGATTTTTGAATTTGGATCTCACTGGCAATAAAAAAACAACGTTTTCTATTCACAATAAATGACTATGTGTGGTTGATAAGTAGCTCCGAGTATCTGAAAACTAATGAGTTTAACATATTCACTGTTATTGGGGATGTTTTTAGTATATAAAAGTGTTTAAAAAAGGGGGTCCATATCCGCTAAAGGGGGTCCATATCTACTAGGAGATTTGGACCGGGGGGGGGTGTCCAAATCTACTGGGGGTCCAAATCCGCTGTGACACCGGGATGAGCTTGATGTATCCTCGTAGTCTCGATGACTGGTTGTTTGTATTTTACTCAAGAAGAATTGGACAAAATAAAGTCACTTAGAGGCAAACATTGAGATGCGCGGTTTCATACTCGATAAACAAATGAGGCGTGTGGCAAAAATTATTGCGCACCTTGATGAATCAAGGCGCTTGTCACGCTCGCCTCAAACGGCCAATTCTGGGCCACATTGTTTTAAAAACTTTTGTTTTGAAATTTTGTGGTAATTGTACTACATGCATAGGTCAGATTGTTGGACCCTTGGACCAAGCCTTGGTCCATTCTAAGCCGTAGCTTTCCATGGGGGTCGTGAGCTCGACCACTGCACCTCTCCCACCAAAATCCGGCCTTGATGCATGTGTTGTTCAACTCCTTTAATTGTTACTTCGAATCCGTGCCCATGGTTTGATTCCTGGAATATCTATACCTAGACTGCACGCACATACATGTAGTCTGTGGCAAATTTTCACAAACACATTCCTGATTATCTACTTGTGAAATTGGGGTAATTTCCAGTTTGAATCCACCTGCACAAAAAACACTGAAGGTTTTCCAATTTAATTCCTTTTAAAAGTAAACTAAACAAAACCAAAAAAATTTAATATAGCTAACCTACTGTATTGATGAAAGATGTTCACATAAGGAATGTAAATTTCCCACACAGGAAAAGGAGAGCCTTGTGGTAGAATCACTCTCAGAAAGGGTTCCCGAGCGAATGCCAAAGAAAGCCGCAGAAGACAAACTTACACCAGAAATAATAAAGAGCAACTGTTACAGCAATTCGGAGGATGTTGTTCCTTTTGCTGGTCTACAGAAAGTCACATTTCAACATACGGAAGTACTTCGTGGCAAGCGCTTGGGTGAGTAGATTGCAACGTGCTCTCAGTTTTGTTTATAAGTGGTGCACATCAATACAGTTCTTAGATTATAATTTTATCTCAGTGTGTGTTGACTCAACCACTAAACCTCTTAATAAGTTACATTTAAGTGTAATCTAATGAAATATTATGTAGAACTAACTCATCAAATCTATATGACCCTGAAGATCCAAGAACATTTAAGTCTGTCTGTGTCAAATATCACACCACTCACCCACCAAAGAACTTATGAACTTGTTGCTAAATTTAGTTTTTTTCCTGTATTCATTCCTGTAGCAGTGTAGGCTGTTTTTATCTTAATATTTGTACAAGTATATATTCATCTGTCATTTTTTGTTTGTTTGTTTGTTTAAGCATTTATTTGTCTACTCATTTATGTGTTAAACTGTTATATTTAAGTATCTCAGGCTTATTTTTTTTAAATGCTTAGTTTGTTCTCTGTGAGGAAATTCCAGCCATTTGTAACTACTTTATTATATTAATACACATTGCAATGGCAAACTTGGTCAAAGTGTTTTTAATATTTGTCAATTAAGCGGTTCAGAATTCACACATAAATGATGAAAGATATACTAATATACATAGCATTTCTGTAGTAAAATTTTAATGTTTATTCACTAACATCTAACATTTACCTAATATCTTATGGTTATGAGATTTATCCTTTTCTGTTTCCACAGGGGTTGGTCAATCTGGTTCCACAGTCTACCGTGGTATGGATACTAAGACTGGTGAGTTCGTGGCTCTCTCTGAGTGGAAGTTTATGAGTCAGGATGGGCAAAAACAATCAACTCATGACAAGTCCAAAATTGAGGATGAAAAGCTATTGAAACAGGTCATTACTTTTACACTACAATAGAATTCACTGCATGTTTTTTATACAGTATATAAGTAGGTTTTACTGAGCGCTGTCGTGCAGAAAATGGTGATTAACTAGCAGTTATTTGCATGAGTGAGAAAATAATGTCAATTAGGGCCATTGCCCTGTTCGGCCACCTTTTGCTATGTACGTATAATAGTGATAAAGTGATTAAACTAAACTATAAACTTTCATTATATGCAGTACTGAGAGTTGTTTTCCTTGCTTCAATGTATAAGTGTCAACATTTGTGCAGTTGACCATTATCTGCTCCCTGTGATGCTTACTGAAACTATCAATATTTATATAATTTTGTTAAATATCTTTAAGTTTTAACAACAATGTTCAGTCCGTTTTGGTAGTTTTGTCAAATTTTATAGGTCTCCAGCATAGAACAAGAAATAAGTTCATTAATAATGACAGTCAGTCATCCTAATCTGGTTCAATATCTTGGAGTAACCCAAGTACAGGAAGACAGTACACTAATATTACAGGTAAATATCTCACTAATCGTGTTTAACATCAATTTGGCACAGTCAATGGGGCTTTTGGCGGTGCCATCGTCAGAGCAAGCAAGATTACGGTGGGTTCGATTCTCATGACTTACGTGAAAAGAGTCATCATCATCATCAATCAATTTATCAAGTCAGTCAATGCTCTGCCAAAAGTTGTGGGTTTTCTTCGAGTATCAATTTCTTCCCACAGAGGGGCCCTTAGTAATATAAGTAATATTCAATAGGTTGAGCTACATCCTTCATAATTCAGCTCTCAGCAGTGCAACATATGAAAACCAACAAGATGTAGCGAATCAGCTTAACCATCATTTCATTAATGTTGGTCCATCTTTGGCAGATTTTATTGAGAACACAAATGTTGATCCGATATCATATATTAACAAGTAATAACTCACCTTCTACTAGTTTTATCATGTCCCCTGTGAATGAGACAAATGTATCTTTACTTTTCTCTCAATTAAACCCCCAACAAAGCCTCTCTCGATATTCCTGATAAGCTAATAAAGATAGCTTGTAGACCACTCGCAGTGCCATTTACACTATTGTATAACGAATCTATAGCAAAGGGCAGTGTACCAGAAGTGCTGAAATCTCAAAAGTTATTCCAATTTATAAAAGTGGAATAACGACTGAATCTAACAATTATAGACCTATTTCGATCTTATCTCCTTTTAGTAAAGTTTTCGAACGTTTAATATATGATCAAATACTGACTTTTATTAACAAACATAATATTTATTTAAAAACAGCTATAGATATAATAAACTTTAGATTTGTGGCATCTTTCTGTACTTCTCAAAGGCTTTCGATACAGTAAACTATCATGAAATTCTATAGTGAGAAAGCTTGAGAAATATGGAATAAGAGGTCTTCCACTAGAATGGTTTCATAGTTATCTAAGTGATAGAGCGCAATTTGTTCAGAAAAATACTCAAATTGATATTTCAAATATCAATAAAAAAAGCCGCATGCATAAAATATTTGGGAGTATACATTGATCAACATCTTAAATGAAATACTCAGATTTCATATGTTAAAAATAAAGTATCTAAAAACATAGGAATATTGTATCGCCTACGGCGATATCTTAAACTTTCAATGCTAAGTAATCTGTATTTATCCGTACTTGATCTATGGTGTGATGAGCTGGGGGACTACGTACGAAACTATAATCTTAACCAGATGATTGGAAATTAGCGAATGTCGTACCAGTACACAAACGGGGTGAGAAATCCTATGTCGAGAACTACCGTCCAATCTCGTTACTTTCCCTTATCTCCAAAGTCCTCGAGCGTTGCGTTTTCCATAACATCCAACATCATGTTTTTCAACAAATCAACCCTTGCCAACACGGTTTTGTTCCACGAAAGTCATGCGTAACGCAACTGATCGAAGTATTCGAACAGATAGGTCGGAAATTAGACAACGGTAAGCAGATAGACGTGATTTACCTTGACATGTCGAAGGCATTTGATAAAGTAAGTCACGCTCAGCTCATGCACCGATTACACAAGTTCGGGTTTCGAGGTAACCTTCTCAACTGGTTTTCATCCTACCTCAGCAATCGTACGTAATCAACAGACAACAATTGGTGGAGCAACATCAAGACCGTTAGCAGTGACATCCGGTGTACCGCAGGGCTCTATTCTCGGTCCTTTACTGTTTCTCTTGTACGAAAACCACCTCTCAGAAAGCGTGGGCAACTCCAGTATCGCAACCTTTGCGGACGATACAAAGATCTTTAAAACTGTAAATAACGTGTCCGACGCATCATCGCTACAAGAGGACCTAACAAATTTTGAAAAGAACTCCAGCAAGGTAAACCTGATATTAAACGCTCAAAAATGTAAAGTCATGAGAATAACCAGAAAACACCACAAAACAGAATATCCCTACAAGCTACATGATGCTGTTCTGAAAAGCGCTGTTCACGAACGTGATTTGGGAGTGTGGACTTCTTCCAATCTGACTTGGTCCAAACATATTGAGGACCAATGTGCTCAATCAACCAAAATGCTCGGCTATGTAAGGAGATCTACACTGGACATAAAAACTATCTCGGTTCGTCGTACTCTGTATTTGACTCAAAACCATGCTATGCGTCTCAAGTCTGGGCTCCACAATCCGTGGAACTGATCAAACGCACGGAAAGAATCCAGAGGCGCGCGAGCAAGTTTATTTTGGATCTACCATTTATCTACGATGTCAGCTATAGTAAGAGACTCGAACTGTTAGACCTCATTCCGCTCTGCTATTGGCACGAATTCCTCGATCTGTTGTTTTACTTTAAATGTGTAAATGGGATAATAAACATCAATGGCAACATTCTACCATCAATTCAGATCCGGCAGAGAGCAACGCGATCAGCTGACCCTGACTTTTTGAAGTTCACCACACCGAAGTGTAAGAACATTTATCTACGATGTCAGCTATAGTAAGAGACTCGAACTGTTAGACCTCATTCCGCTCTGCTATTGGCACGAATTCCTCGATCTGTTGTTTTACTTTAAATGTGTAAATGGGATAATAAACATCAATGGCAACATTCTACCATCAATTCAGATCCGGCAGAGAGCAACGCGATCAGATGACCCTGACTTTTTGAAGTTCACCACACCGAAGTGTAGGACTGCAACATTCCAGAGATCGTTTATATCCAGGTGTGCGAGAGTATGGAATGTTCTGCCAAAAGAGTTGACAACAAAGAACATAAGCTTAGGTCGTTTCAAAAGCGATCTCTATGAATATTACAAATCGGCTCTGAACATTTACGACGCAGAAAATCCTAGAACATGGAAGTCTGTATGTTTGTCTTGTAACAAGTCCCGTAATTTGTCTAAATTCTAATGTGTGTCCCTGTGTTGGTCTTGTTAAGCTTCATTGTCAGCTAATTTCCACTCAATAAAATTTTCCGCAGGAGCGGACGGCATTGGAACTAACGACTTTAGCACTATGTAACTTTCCTTCCGTTACTATCCTGCGGAGGGTTTTCCTGGGTGCAAACTGGTCTTTTTATATTACTAAAGATCTAATGTAGAATGTTTCATGTTCGTTCTGTAAGGGCTGCTGTAATTGGCGTAAAGCTGTAGCATATACCCTGCCATTGATTGTTTGATAGTTTGTATATTCTTGTGTTTGTATTTGTGCAGATATGATTGTGTGAAATTGGCAAAGCATAATAAATAAATAAATAAATAAGTAAATAAATAAATAAATAAATAACCAAGTATCATCAAAACTTAACAAATGTATTAGATGTATTTTCTTTGGCACTTTGCCAGTTTACGAGAGGATCTTAGTCCATATTTCAAATTACTTGGGATTTGGAAGTTGGAAAATTTAGTTAAACCGCTAAAACTGATTACAACATTCGTAAGTCTAATACGAAACAAAGATAATGATACACCAGATTTATTTTCAGATTTATTTAAACCTGTATCTAGTGTTCATTCGCATTATACAAGATAATGCATCCCAAGATAAAAATTAAAGACCTATAGGATTAGAACTAATTATGGTAAAATGTAAATTTACATTTAAATTTTATGCTTCTCAGTTATGGGAGTCTATACCTCTGTCTATCAAGTCACTGCCCTCTAACATCTTTAAAAGGAAATATAAAAAACACTTGCTTAGTAATCAAGAATAAATACGATTAATTTTCCAATGTAAACTTGTCTAGTATTTTGTCTTTAGTTATAATATATATTTATATTCGAAATATCTTGAGCCTAGGAGCTTTTAGCACCTGCATGGGTTCATGAATTATTCTGTACGCGTATAGCCATGTCGGCTTATATTATTCTAACATTGCGACAACCAGCTCGAAAGCTTCGGCTCCTCTGGTTGCCGTTCACAATCTTTTTTTTAAAGTACTCATTAAAATTTTATTATTTTCTTCTACTTTTGTAATATTACGTTACTTGAGAAAAATCCTGTAAATAGTGAAATAAAATCGAATTGAATTGAATTGAATTGCAAGTACGGATGATTAATACACACCACACCGCCCACCTATCTCATTGAAAGTAAAATATTGAGCAATTAATCATATAATCTATGGCACAGTGGTTATTGCAATGTGCTTTTCACCTGTGCCACGTACCGGGTTTCGATCCTTGCAGTACGCAGTTATCTGATTATGATTTGAGCTCAGTCACATGTGAGAAGAGTGCTTCCAGTTTGACTCAGCCAGGATCCTAATTCTACAGCAACATTGGATTAATTTACTGAACCTTATGCAATGAAGACTAACAGACCTATCCAGTATAAATAAAGTTAGTTTAGTTTTGGTTTTCCTTGTGTAGTGAACACTGAACTGATTAAAGATGACCCTTACTGGACCTCTAGGAAGAACAGTTTAGAATTGACAGAGCAATCCAATATAAATCGAGTTATTCATTTATTAATGCTGTAGGTTTTGACAGAATATGTGGCTGGTGGTTCTTTATTGAAAGAGCTCGGTTCGCGAGGACTTGCAATCGAGATTATACAAGATTATTCACAACAGTTATTGAAAGTTTTGGCGTACCTACATGGAGAATCCATTGTACATAAGGACATCAAGGTACTGTACAGTATGTTGTACAAAACATCATGTGACCATGCAAGATACGTAGTTCGTCTTCATGATGATACGTCTATATAATTTGTTCCTGCATAGAACTATTGCCACTATGCTTTAAATCGCACTATCCTAGTCAGTTCGTCTTGTATTTACACCAAGATCTGTCAGGCGAATGTTGCGTCTTGACGCTTGTATCTAGTTTAAATAATGCCATTCACCTCAACAATTTTTATATTCCAGTTATCTAGTGTATTTTTGGATGAAGAGAAAAAAATACGACTGGCAGACTACCGTGTTGGCAGAAGGTAAGGATATGTTCACCATTTTGTGTGCAGGTACTCCAGTTTACTGTAATAACCAGTAATACTGGACCTATAAGGGATGGTCCTTACTGGGCCTTTTAGCACAACAGTTTAGAACTGATAGAACTATCCACTATACTGTATAAAATTAATCAAGTTTGTTTAATATATACTGTATAACAGAATACATGAAAAAATGATCGATTCTGATTATCGAATTACGGTGCCAGAGAAGGAAATACGGTCGTAAAAAATGAAATACAGTGCCAAAAAAAGGAATACTTGGAAAACTCCAAAACAAAAGACATTTTGATTCTTTTAAATTTATGCATGCAAGTGACCACAAATTTGTTTCTGTATATTTTTTGTGCCATATAATTCAAATCTGTCCTGCCCTTGTCCCAGCATAGAGGTCCTGGCAACTCCTTGTCCTGTCCATTTTTCACGTGACACTAACGACCGCATTCCGAATGATTCCGATTATATGGCGATTGTTTTGAAAATGGCTTCGACAAGGAGTGAGAAGTTCGTGTGTTTTAATTTTTGCTCTTTTTGATCTCGATTTTTGAGAAAATGTGAGAGCACAAATCGTGAGGAATGTTTGTTTTTATCTTTTGTTTGCTGTAAGCGAATCAAGCGAATGTTTTGTACTGTAAATTTGTATGTACATTTTTTCTATACGAAATTTTTACCTCTTTTATTGTTTTGCTAAAAAGTAGTACTGGAGTGATGAAGAATGACGTTTAAAGTTTTTTCATATCTCATCTCACATTCTCAAGTTATCGCACTTTCTATATTTTGAGTTGTGACGTCACTAGTTTGACTCGAAATAATGGCAATAACAAGAAAGTCTGATATCTTGGTGATAGTTTAATAAAATTCAATCAAACTTGGTACACTTAGTGGGCGCACCTACGTGAATATTTTGGGCTGGTAATGTGTTGTCATGGCAACACACTCGTCCCCAGTCTCTTCTTTTCAAACGTTTTTCAAACAAGCTAAATTGTTCACCTGGTTGCACCCACTTGTGCAACGTTGTGCCAAGTTTTATTGAATTTTATTAAATTATCACTAAAATATTAGATTTTCTTGTTATTGCCACAATTTCGAGTCACAGTGACGTCACAACTCGAAATAAAGAATGTGCAATAATTTGGGAATGAGATGACATACGAATAAACTGTAAACGTCATTCTTCATCATTTGAGCAGTACTTTTAATAAAACAATAAAAAAAAATGAGGCAACAATTTCGTTTCATAAACACTACACTTACAGACTCAGAAATATTATGCAGATTTCAAATTTGTTCCATCGTTTACTCTTTTACGTATTAGTTTGCTACTCCGCGTGTATATTTAATGTAATCACAGCTTTAATATGAGCACGTGCCGGTTAAAATACCAAATCAACGCCTGAAGGCATTGTCAACAAAGCTTGTACAATATTATTTCCTGATTCGTGGATAAGACATTGGCTTAATTAGGCCAAGTTATCTTGATCAGTACCCGAAACAAGTTTACCGTAGCTGCAAATAAAACTAAGCAGATGTACTGTTCAATTATTAGTAGCCCTTCCCAGGACATACTGTATAGAATTCATCTAATGATTGGGTTGCAGTTTATCAATCAGCATTGTCAAATATGCCAATGTAATTTCTTTTTTATGCATGATCCTTTTCCTAGTTGAGGCATAGTAAATCCTGCGTTATCACCCTCTATTTCAGAGAGGTACCATCGACTAAATAAAAGCTAATCAGTTTCTTGTAGAGGCACACTGGAAGCCCATGTGCATGTGGGGCCAAATAATGGTAACAAAATTCATGTCTTGCATGTTGCAGCAGCAAACTTCGGTCATAGAGGTAGGGTCTTGGATTTTAGATTTTGGGCGTGTTTCTAAATTACCAGGGTGTGCACATGTCAATTACCTTGAATAGCCAAATTCACGGTTCTACAACAACGGACAATGTAGTAACTACATATACATATTTATTTCTAATCCAGATTGTGTGAGCTTTATCAAGCTTATGGAGAACAACAGTTTTCAAAGAAAGTGAATACCAATGAAGCCAAAAGCTTGGAGAAGTTTACCAAAAGAACTGACATTGTTAATTTGGTAGGTACTCTTTCTTATGTCATATGAACGGTTTATTTTTACTCATTTATAGTAGATTTGTTCAAGCTGTTCTCATTTTAGGGTCTACTGATGCTGTCCTTACGGCAAGGCGAGATAGTGACCTCTGTGCCAACGTCAATATCGCAATCATTTCCAAAGGAACTTCAAGACTTCTTTGCAAGGTAATTGGCCTGGGTGATTGGAAGAAATCTCGGCTTATATGTGCCCATTATGTTATTTTTGTATGCTTGTAGGACCTTTATTCCTTCTCCCTGCCTCCCTTCCTTTTTCTTCCGTCATTCTTCCCTCCTCCCTCATTTTCTCCTTCCTTCCTTTATTCATTTTTCCCTTCCTTTCTTCCTTCTTTCCATCCTTCCTCCCATCCTTCCTTCATTCTTCTCTTCTTCACTCCCTCAACCTTTCCTTCCTTTCTCTCTATCCTCTTATTTTTCCAAAACTTTACCTTCTTCCCTGATCTTCATAATTTTTTCTTTCTTCTACATTTTCTCCTCAACAGATGTCTATACCCTGACGATGGAGAGCAATGGTCTGCGTCACAGCTCCTTAAACATCCTTTCATCAGTCCAACCTGTATGTTGAGTTCCTTGGCAGTTGAGGGAGTTGCAGAAAGAGATGAGGCCGATGGTGACAACTGTATGGGAGAGTCCCCATACTGGCGAAGAGATATTGTCGGTCATTCCAACAGACTAAGAAAAGACTTTGATGTTCTAGAGTCGCTTGGGAAAGGCGGTTTTGGATCTGTTAGGAAAGTAAGTAGTACATAGGTATGGTTTGCACTGTAGTTAGTGCATGTGCGTTTCACCTCTGCGATCCAGGTTCGATTGACGATGCATCTTGATACAATTTTCACATTATTTTTCCTCAGTCCCATATAAGAAGAGTGTTTTTATAATAATAAATGATGATGATTTTATTACAGCATTTCCACCAAAAATGGCTCTTCATCCTAATCATATTAAAAACTATTTACAAGCAAGTAATAGAATATGATCTAATGTATATACGCATATGTTAAAAGTAGACAACATTACTAAGGATTAAGTCTAAGGGTAGTCTTCTCCTTTAAATGTTTCAATACTAGACTTTTAAAATCTGTGAATAAGACAGAGTTTCTGACAGTAGAATGTTTAGATGTACTATCTTGGAAGGTACCTGATACTAGTGGCACTTTTAATGTTCTCTCTGTCGAAGTGACCTTCCAAGAGTATAAATATCTAGTTTAAGGTACGACTCTGTGCAAAACATCGCAGGCTCTCTTCAGGTAGTCCGGTTTTCTCCTGTAGTAACACTGGCCCGTGCTGGGCACTTTAGAGACAGTAGTTTGCAACTGAATAAGCTATGCAGTAAGTGGTACCATAAATATTCAACGCTGTATTTAGGTGAGAAATAAACTTGACGGGCGCCTGTACGCTATCAAGAAAATCCTGCTTAAATCAGAAAAAGAGGAAGGTAGTGTAATACAAGAAGTGGAACTGGTGTCAAGCCTGAATCACAAAAATGTTGTTAGGTGATTAAAATATTTGTGTTTGATCTTGCTCTTACTCTTACTAGACCTGTATGGAGAACTGCTTTGAACTGATGGAGCTATCCAGTATATAGATAAAGTTTAGTTTAGGTTTCTTCTTCTAGTACCACTGGAGCAATAAGTGATGGTTTTTACTGAACCTCTAGGGAGAACAGTTTAGAATTGATAGAACTATATGTAGTTTAGGTTTCCTCCTCTATTGACACTGCACCAATAAGCTTCAGAGAGGACAGTTTAGAACTGATAGAACATTCGAGTTCACAGTTATTTAGTCTAGTTCACTTCGTAAGCACAGTCTACTCTTCCAGATACTATGGCTCGTGGATAGAGGTCGCGGAAGCACCGGAGAGCGAGACTTCGAGCAATGAAACAAAATCCAGCACTACAGAAGAGAAGCAAAAATCAGCCGTCGAGGATAATCTGATGCAGTTCAACTCCGTGAATCTGATGCAGTTCAACTCCGTGAAAGCACCCAGTATTCTAGCGAGTGCAGAGGATGATGGTTCGTGGGCAAACAGGGATATTTCAAAACAGGAGGAAAATAGTTTTTCAAGCTCCAGTGGAGAAGAGGAGATTCCTAAAGCTAAGCAATCCAGTAATTCTACTGAGTCCTCTGATGGTATTACGTTTACCAGTAATGTAATAGTAATGAGTAATGAGTTTCTTGCCAGTGGGGTATGTATTATCTTTGAAGTTTATACCATCATAATCATCATTGCCATCATCACCATCAACATAATCCATCACAACCACCATCATCGTCATCTTTACCATTGCAACAGTTTTTGCCACCATTATCACCACCATCAGACCACCGTGACAGCCTCTATCCGCATCATGTCTAACCAGATGATCATCACCATACCAGCCTTCATCACTATTTTTACCATCCCAGTTTATACATTCTTCGACAAATCGTTATGTCAGCAAATGTACAACTAAAGAATATTTTATTACACTTCTGGTGCTGACTCGTACCCAGTCCCTAAATGAGGATTGAAAAATATCGGTGCATGATGGGAATGATCAAGACTCAAATTTCTACTGATCTATAATGTATCCATCGATGACTGGGTACGAGTCAGGTGCTGGTGGGTTTCAGTAAGTGGTACGGGACTTAGATTGAACAGGTGGTTATGTACCTGCATTGTCGAATTTCCGATATTCCTGCATTGTATAAATTTCCAAAAACTAATCCAAGCTGAAAATGCGGGCAGCTCATTGTTTTCATAAAAATATTTCAAAAACGGAGGGAAATATGAAAAATCGGTAAAGGCCGGTGTAATTTTAAAAGTTCTATCAAACAAGATAAACTTAATTTTTATTGTCATATCCCCCTTATGATAAACTACATCATTCGATCAGTTTGGTAGCTTCAATCAAATGTTGGACTACTGCAGATAATGAAAAAAATGAACATTAATTGCTCACTCTAATATCGCCCAATGTGAGGTAAACCAGGAATCCGACTTTTAATAGCTTTACAATCCGGAATTCGGACAGTGGAATCCAAACATCGGAGGAATCCAGAATCCTTATCCTGGGCCAATTTTCTGAAATCCGGAATCCATGACCGATCTGGAATCCGGAATCCAAGTAGTGGAATCCGGAATCCAAGGAGCGGAATTCGGAATCCAAAGAGAGAAATTCGGAATCCAAGGAGTGGAATCCGGAATCCAAGGAGTGCATGGATTACCTTACATGGGACGACTGATAACTGCGAGTTGACCACCATTTGCGTCACGATAATGCTTAGTGAAACCCTATGGTGAAACCCACCGAAGAAAATATAAAAGAAAATATTCTTTTATATCAGGGAAAAGAATCAAGTCAACAATTACTAGAAGTTTTGCACATTCAGATGGAGTATTGTGGGGGAACCACGTTAAGAAGTGTCATTGATAAAGGCTTGTATGAAAATAAAGAGAGAATTTGGAGATTACTTCGTGAGATAGTCGAAGGCTTGGTTTATGTCCACTCACAGGTAAGCTTCACTGGGAGACCTTTGTAACGTGTAAAGAGACATGAAGGTGATTAATTTGGATTTCTAAGTTTATTACAAACTCCAGGAAACCATAACTCGACTAACTTCATTTGTACTGCGTATCCCTTAATGATACATTAGAAGTTCAGATTTAACTTCCACTACCTCTCACTGGATTAATACGCATTTGTTACTACATGAGGAAACCTAAACTAACTTAAACTAATTGTATATTTATGCTGGATAACTCTATCAACTGTTCTTCCTTATTGGTCCAGTATTGTTACATGAGAACATCTAAACTAAATTTACTTTTGTTTGTGTTGTTCTCCTAGATTATTTATATTTAGTATAATTACATAGGTGATTATTGAAAATTCTCCACGCTGATTGGTTGCCGTTGAGGTGATTATTACGCGATAATCACCTAAGCGATTTTCAAAATGGCGGCCGAAGCCTTTTTGTCAATTAAATGACGAAGAAATGTGTATTTTTTTATTTTTTTCTATATAATCACCTATGAAATTATACTAAAACAATTATTCACCTCAGGCTCGGTGATTATCGTGAATAAAAACCTCGACTTCGTCTCGGTTTTTATTCACCGATAATCACCTCGCCTTCGGCGAATAATTGTTAAATACAGATGTTTTATTTTGTCTAACGATTCGGATTTCTCTGCGGAAACCATTTTCAAAGATTTGACGGTTTATTATGAATGTTCCGAATTAGTAAACCGAAACGTTAGACAAAACATTTTGTATATAAATAATCTAGAAGAACAATACAAACAAATGAATAAACCTGGATTCAAACCCTTCAATAAACTAACTTTGTTTATTTATAATGAAGTGCAGTGAGTGCCATGCGTTACGGAAGTATGTAGAGAAAAAGCTACAACATGTTTTGAACTTCCTTTCTTTTTCATCAGGGAATCATTCATCGCGATTTGAAACCCGAGAATATTTTCCTTGATTTCAATGATCATGTAAAGATTGGTGACTTTGGTCTGGCCTTTACGAAACCCAATTGTGACACAAACAACCTTAGTGGCGTGGAAACCACACCTACACATGAATTGATGACTGGTGGTGTTGGTACGCCGCTATATAGAAGCCCAGAGCTCGACACAAACAGCCGAACAAGGTACTGTATATCTTTATTAACTTTATATACTCTATCCAGGGGTCGATAACTTTTTTGTGTGTCTGCAACCGAAAAAAATGCGCCTGCAAAATGCCTACTTAAAAAACGAAATCTGGCTGACTCAGCTCACCCTTCATGTCCACATTCAATAATGATGACTAACGCCTGTATTCTAAAAGCTCACTCACGCTCAAAGAGTGGACGCTCATCTTTCCATAAGTGCAACTCACCATCGTCGCATAGTATGGTACTGCACATACACCCCATGCAGCTATTCAAAAAAAGCACTCGAAAGGAAGTTAGGGAGGCTCAAATTTGGAGTGAAATGTGAGTGAAAGGTATACCTCATTTGAGTTACACTCATCTGTACTTAGTAATACAAACATGGCGGATAGATATAGCTAAATGCAGGTCAACATTAGTGGAAATATTTCCAATTGCATGACTGTACGCATATTAAAATACCATGCCCAGGGGGTGAGAATGCAGAACTTTTTAGAAATCTTTCCACAAAATAATTTAACCAGAAGCTCCACTCTCCACTTGTTTAGCTATCTGAAACGAGCGCGCGGCCAAGCCATGCAAATTTACACAACGCACTCGTTTCCAGATCGCTTAACAAGTGTAATCAGCTTTTTGATATGTCGAGAGTGGAACTTTTGGTTAAATTGTTTATTCTGTGTCTTTTCTTTAGCCACTTGTTTTTTTGGTACGGGCCTCTACATTTTTGTAACATTTTTTGAGCTGCCTGTGCGTCCGTTTAGTCACACCTGACTGGGAATTGAACTCTTTCGATAAAGCTTCCCAAGCGGTGCTTCTCTGTTGTATCACCATATCAATCATTCTTTTTCTTTTCAATCACATCTTTGTGCTTTCCAAATAGTTCTGTTAAGAGCGACTTTTGACTGTTAATTGTGAGAAATATTGCCCACTACATCTTGTGCAGCAGATGATTCAAGGAAGACTAGGTATATGCCTCAAATCCTCATTAATATTCAACGTTAAGCACTCCTGTAAGTCACACTCGAGTCACGAGAATACAAATTCATCAGATTTTTGGACGAATGAGTTCTCCCTCACAGAATGGACACTCAAATTCATACTCCACCCATACTTGAGTTCATCTCACTTGAGCCTAACTCAAGTGCGAGTGTAAACCCCAATCTTGAACCCCGAGCCTGCGATCCTTATGGCTTGTGGCCCACGACTGAAAGTTCTGACTTTTTTAACTTTCCATCAACGACTTTAGAAACTTCAAATGGTTCCAGGATTGTCCAGACTTTCAAAACGAATAATGGACTTTAGCAGTAAAGTCTAGCAGTTGTATTTTCAAGAGAATTTAACTAGCAAGTGCGCCAATGAGCAAATATTAATAGACTAATAGTAACAGATTAAGAAGAGAATCTTTTGTACGTTACGTAACACCCGCTCAAAACTAATGAATACACTTTTCCACTCGGTTATGACTATATATTTTTTGATACGTTTCTCAAGCAGCAAACAAACTTAAAAGGTATGTTTGATGCTTTATCTGTAAAATTATGCTAAAATGAAGAGATTTTAGATGGTACGCGCCAAAGAGAAAATGATGTCTGAAGTTCAGTAATTTTGCTATTATTTTGTGTTTTTCAACCGCCAGATACATTTAAACAGGCTGCTAACTGTGTGAACTACAAATAAAACTAAAACAAAGTAATTTTGAAGCAACGCGAAAAAGATTTTAGGTTTTTCATTACAAATACGCGACATTTAAAAGATAAAATCTATTTTATTTCTTCTGTAAAATCAGTAATAAGATCAAATCTATTTCTTCTGTTTCTAAAGTTAAAAATGTGCCTGCAAGAAACCGGCGTGTTTCATTTCAGATGTGCCTGCGACCGTCAGTTCCCAACATTATATCGACCCTCTATGTCAGCTTTAACATGTGTTCCTAGAGGTTCAGTGAAAGCTGTGAAACCCATCTCTTATTGATCCAGTTTTACTACAGGAGGAAACTGAAACTAAACGAAATTTATTCATGCTGGATAGTTCTAGCAGTTCTAAACCGTTCACAATTGTTCAGGTATACACAAAAGGTTGATCTATATAGCTTGGGGATTATTTCCTTCGAGATGTGCTACAGACCTATGAAAACAGCCATGGAAAGAGCACGCGTCCTTGATAATTTGCGAAATGTAAGTTTTGATGGTTTATTGATCTTGAAATTATAGTGCATGTACCTACCTCTCCACTTACTGTACCTATAATTTCAACCATCCTTTCTATTTTTTCTCACATAGAAAGAGATTGTATTCCCGGAAGACTTTGACAGCAAACGCCTTGACAAGCTAACACAGATCATTCGCTGGCTACTTTGCCATAACCCAGATAAACGGCCTACCTCACAGGAACTGCTAAAAAGCAAACACATCCCACCCAAGATCACGGGCAACGCACTTGAAGAATTACTGAACCACACTCTAGCTAACACAAACTCCGCTGGCTACTGCACTGTAATATCGTGTGTAATGAATCAAGAAATCACGCAGAATCTAGACTCCTACTGCAACTATATGTCATCGTCCTATTTCGCAAATGAGTCATGTAGACAACTAGTACACAATAAGCTGGTGGAAAAACTGCTACAATATGGATTTCAGCCAGTTAGCACACCTCTATTGGTTCCGAAGGACAAGGTTAATGAACAGACTTCACAAATGGTTATGGACCATAGTGGTGCAATTTTGTCCCTTCCTAACGATTTGAGGACGCCGTTTGCTCGACAGCTCGCGATGGGAAATCTCAAATCTCTCAAAAGGTTCAACATCAGTCGTGTCTACGAACGAAGACCAAAGCTCGACAAACATCTCCACGAGCAATACCAATGTGTTATTGATATCGTTACAAGCTGTCCTCGTATTTGTAATCTTGTCCCCGATGCAGAGATACTTTGGACGGTTGCAAAAATTATCGACGATTTTCCGTGTTTAGTTTCCCAGAATTACTACATACGGGTTAACCATGTGGATTTAACGAAATCTATCCTCGCTTTTAGCGGAGTAGCGGAGGAAAAAATTCCTCAAATTATTGCACTTTTACAAGAATGTGGAAGTGGAAACGATTCCTTACAAGAAGTGAAGGAACTTTTAGAAAACGTAGGTCTCGATAAGCGTACTGTGAATGGCATATGCCATCTGTTCCACCGTGTGTCTGCTCATTCACGCCGTAGGTTGCGTTGTCCACTAATGAATAAAGCTGCTAAAGAACTGAAGATAATTTGTTATCACGCAGAGAAGCTAGGTATGAAGGACGTAAATCCCAATCCAGTCGTAAGTCGGAGGCGATGTTTGTTGTCCCCCTCCCCTTTTAGATATTTGTTTTTCTTATATTCTCCTGGTAAACTATCCACCTTATGAATGTTTTATTGGAGGTAGTTGAAAAGTTGTGAAAAGGGGGCGATATTGGCAAAAAACGGGGATTATAGACCCTTTCCAAACTATGGTTCTTGTTTTAAGCTAAGATTAGGTTTTTTGAAACTTGTGTTTTGATGGGTTTTAGTAACCCGTACGGGGAAGCACCATCTTCGGCACGACAGTGCTTAGTGAAACTATTGAACTGTCTGTGCCAGTGTAGGTAGTGCCAATAATATGAACAAGCTTTCATTGGTAAGGATGCAACTACCTGAACAATATAAGGAGAATTTGAAATTCTCCTTATATTTTTCAGGTAGTTGTATCCTTACCAACGAAAGCTTGTTCATAGTGAAACTCAACTGTTACTTATTCATTCGAAGTATTAAGTATTCATTCTAAGGTTTCATTCTTCATTACAGGTTTGAAACTCTCGGTTATTATCGACCCCATGCTTGTGTGTGATATCAACCATATGTCCGGGATATTGTTCCAGTTTGTTGCTAAGAGAAACCGTAACGACATACTCGCCTTCGGAGGCCGATACGATAAACTTATCGCTAAATTTTCGCAAGGGCGTGAGCTGCCACAAGGCTATAATGCTGTGGGAGCCATTATTAACGTAGAACGAGTAGCCAGTTTATTGATCGAGTCACGGAAACCTGACGACGTCATTTCAAGTACGTGTGACGTAATGATCTGCGTGCATGGAGAGAACATAACGATAAGCAAACCAAGGGATATAATGGCTGCACTACGAATAATTGGTATCTCAGTGAGTATATCGTACGATATTCTGCCCTCGGAGGCAAATGATGACGTCATTGTTGAGCACTGTCGAATGTTTGGAACACAGTATGTTGTCATTGTTTCCAAGAAAGAATATCTTCAGGTATGTTGAATTATAATAAGTAGAACTGTATCTATTTGTACTTGAAAGTTTATGAGTTTACGGCTAACACTGATTTGAATAAATGAATGCAATCCCGGACCAAATGGACCTTTCCCTTTATAACTAAAATTTCGATCTAGACAAAAATTTCATCACAGCTTGAAAGAGCATCACAAAATTAGTAATATTCCAAAGTTTCGTTGCGAAATCTTGTAAAATGCTGATAATACAGCCTTGCGAAGTTTGCCGTTTTTCAGTCATTTTGTATTACAAACGGGAAATTGACATCCGATTCGGGTGTTGGGGCTGCAATTTCCCGTTTGTAATGCAAAATGACTGAAAATTGCAAACTTTGCAAGGCTACATTATCCGCATTTTACAACATTTCGCAACGAAACTTACTAATTTTGTGCTGCTCTTTCAAGCTGTGATGAAATATTTGTCTAGACTTGCCTAGATCAAAATTTTGGTTATAAGGGGAAAGGTCTATTGCTTTCACGACCAACGTTTCAACACTCCAGTCCAACGTCGTCATCAGGAGTATTTAAAGTTTGTGAGATCCAACCAGGCATATTTCAGACATGTTTTGCTATTTATGTATATCAATCACAATGTAATAATTCCCGAATGAATTGCATTCACGACATATACAGGGCCTTTTTTAAGAATTCGTCAGAGGGGGCTCAAGTAAAAGGGATCTACATAGGAGTAGCCTGCATGCTTGCCCATGAGGTGAACTGGAACAGCACGAAGTTGCCACCAGGGCTTGATTTGATCCTGCATTTTCAGCACAACTTTGGGCGCTTTCCCTTTAATGGCCTGACCGGTCAGACCCGAATTTTTGTCTTTGTATCAATGGAAATATCTGGTCTATCTTTCTCAAATATCTAGCGAAATTGGATCTCATTCTAATTTTATCAAAAATTTCCGGTCAGATAGGTTCAAAGCCCAAACGTTTTGTGTTTCATTCAACAATTTGACCGTTCTGACCGGTCTGGCCGTGTTAATGGAAAGCGCCCTTAGTGATCTATTTCGTCCGCTCTACAAAAGTTTCGTAATGACAATATTTAAAACACGCTTCTTAACTTTCTTTCCCTTTGCTAATATTTGGGACAGAAGGGGCCTTCTCTGGGGAGGCCAACATAGTTTACTGTAGGGCCCTGGGGGGACTCTATTCCCAGTTTATATTTTCAATGAAGTGTCTTCATCAAATTGCAATATGGCTCCTTCTCATAGAGTGTCTATATTTCTACAATTAGAAAAAATTGATTTACATATAGCGGATAAAAGATGTTATCATTCACTTTATAGTATTTTCAATTTTGATTGGTTAATTTACCTGCAAAAACTGCGTGCAAATAATAGTCTGAGCATGCGCATTTGTTAAAAACGTTGCTCAGCTACAAATAATAGTCTGAGCATGCACATTGCCTTCAATTTTTGTAAACAATGGCGACTCGCTTTGCTGAACCTTCGGAAAATGAGTTGTCTTGCTTACTTGAAGAAAAAAACGCGGAAAACACAAAAAAGCGACTAAAACCGTCGTCAATGTCTTTCACCAGTATTTAGAAGCAAGACGAACTCAACTAAGACGATCTAGTTGGCTCAAAACAGGCTGACCGAGAGCAGCTGCGAAAATTGCAACCATTGGTCCTCCGGGAATTGGGCTCTGTAGCTCAGTGATCAGAGCACTGCACCGGAATCTCAGGTATTGGATTCCTGCGGGAGATCCTAGGATTCCAGTCAGGCCTAAAAATTTAATTTTCGCTCGAAGGTTTCCATCTACAAAACTCCTTCAGCATTCCATTCTATCAAGTGGGATGCCCGAATCTTTAATACATAACTATTTATCCAGACTGTTTCACGTCGCCGAACATGCATGGTCGTGATACGTACGACCAAATGAAAACCAGGCTTGACACGTAGTCTGCCAAAGCTGTTTTCCCGTTGACTAGTTAAAAGCCGCTTATTAGTGCCCCTGAAATATGTGCCACATTGACGTTTTCTAGGAAGTACTCTTAATTTCTTTGTGTTGGTCTGATTTAGATACTAATTTTTGGAAAACATGAAGAAGTCAAGCGCGTGAAGGTTAAGGACGCTGTTGAATATCTGACGGAACAGTATACCAGAAGCCAACAGATAGCAGTGACCACGACTCCCGTGTTTAGAAACCAGGTATATAGTGCATGGTATTTCATAATAAGCGTCAAAAGCTACCGTGTGGTTTGTGTCTGAACTACCTGAAAAATATTAAAAACCAATTTAATGTTTCGAGCGAAGGCCTCCCAAATTCATTAATTTCAGGTAGTTCAGACACAAACCACGGAAACATTGAGTATTATTCAATCCTGATTATTTATTTCCGTAGGTTGATTTACCTGCAACCGTTTTGGAAAATTAGGCTATACCAGCCTTGCTGCACCTTAGCGACGACAAAAGCAAAGGTGAATTCAATGCAAAATGTCAAATTATTTGGGAACAGTTGAAGCAAATCAAACATCGAAGACACGTTCTTTATGTTTGTGATAAAATACTGGAGGAAAAGGAGAATTTAAAGATTCCAATTTTTGTTTCTGTATCGTTGTACCGACGAACAATGCGTTGATGTGCGTAGGGTTTATTAAGCACTATCGTGCACATAGATATCTTATATACACTAGATAGCGCATCTCTATTAGTAAAATTGAAGCCAAGAATATTCCAGCGGTTACCCCCATTTGAATAGATGGCGGCCATGTTGAAGTTTCCCACTCGCTAATAAACGCTTAAAAACAACAATAACTTTCATCATTTGAATAGTTTGAAAATGTATTTGGAATAGGTTTAACTTATTGTTTAAGTTCCCTGTTTAAGAAATAGATAACATACGAGTCTTCTCATTTCATGGGAATATCCTGAGCCTGCAATCACGGCTTCAATTTTTGAATTGTAGAATAATTAGATGCACTATCTAGTGTATATAAGATATCTATGATCGTGCAGCAGTTACCAGAGCAAGCTAGATAGACAATGTTAATTCTTCTCATCTGATCATATGTAGTAGGCTTGTAGTCGGAGGTAAATTTGTAATAAAATTAAAAGTATTATTTTAATTTGCTTCCTCCTTTAACTGTCAACATTTCTGAAGACATGACTGCCATGGCGATAAAACATATAATACTTTCTTTTGCAGTAATAAATTTACGTGGTCTTTCCACAAACGAAAGTATTAAATTTTATTCTGTCATTCAGTTTCTCTGACTAAACATTAATACCTCCACATTAATATCATGACAAAATACATTATATACCGAGGTGAGCAGGCATATAGCAAATTGCCCGAGTAGATTCTTAAAGTACAATCTGCCCCCTAACCCCCCCCCCCCCCCCCCC